TAAGAAAGTGCTTTTGGCATTGATAAACTATATAAACACCTATATAAACTCTCTACCTGCAATTATTTAATATACTAAATACTATATGTATCATTATCTATCATTGTTCTTACTGACTTCTTGTATTCACCTAATTAACTTCGGCGAAGATTTAAAATTTATTATAACTGCATCACTTGAACGGCTCGTTAAAACTCCATTTATAGTAAAATTGCTATCGTTAGAACTTCATTTAGTTAAAAATCTACAAAATTATGTAGGTAATTAAACTAATGATTTTATAAACCACGTGATTTGCACTTAAGTATTATTATTTAAATGAAAATATATAAATAATAATGATCGCTTCGGTAGCAATTTTATGTAGGGGAGACAGAGTACGGTAATAACAGTCAAACTATACTGATTTTAAGATAGGGTCCGAAAGGGAGAAAGATCAAGTATGATTGTTCAAACAAGTTCCCATTATTGCTTTCAGGCAGCGCCTTAACATAATCGATTAACATAATCAGCAGACCGCATTAAAGAGTCAAAAGTTAGTTTTCACGTTTGATTTTATTAATCATAACTGTTAATTGTATACACACAGATTACTTTTTTGTTATTTTGTTGTAAGTTGAACGCTAGTAGTTATTTAATTTTATCTTATTATTAGAGAATTTGGCTCAGTGATAATGATGATTTGTTTTCAAAAGTGTGTGTAGGGTACGGTTCCAACATATTTTGTGGGTACGGTTGTGACATGTATTTCTTGCCCTCTTCGGGTGAAGAATAAACAGATAAAAAAGTTTAAGACAAAATACAAAAGGGAAATGGAAAGAAAAATTCAATTTCCGACAAGTACGTGGATGAAAAATACCCTGACACAACAAATTATTATACAGAAAAATGTGAAAAGGAGAGATTTTTACAATACGGTTCACGAGTAGAAGAACCAGACTTATTCAGCAGTGATATGTGCACTGTGCATATATGTATGTTAGGCATTTGATTCCCATCAAGTATGCTTGCAATTTGTTTCACATCGAATAGATAAGAAATACGGATGCTCGTACAACAACGTTGTCGGTTAATGGGACATGTTACAAGTGCACATGGCAAATCGCATTTACGTTAGATACTGCATTTCGCTGTCAGAGATTTGTTGAGCTATGTAAATAAATGGGGTGTTTTAATCGTGAGCGTTCGACTGTACCGCTGATAGAAGCATTCTTTTCTTTTAATCGACCCCGCCGTTATGCGCTCATCTTTCATTAAACATTGCAACTCACTTGCGATACTTCATTATAGCGGAAATAGTGAATAAACTTATTAATTTATATCGTGTGATATATATATATATATATATGTATATATATATATATATATATTATGGTAATATATATATATATATATACATATATATATATATATATATATATATATATATATATATATATATATATATATATTATGGTAATCCTTAATATGGACATTTTCGTATTTCCTTGCTCCCAAGGGCTCAAATGGTTCCAAATTGATAATGAACAATTCTCTGAAAGTTTTGTAAGGAAATAGCATCAAAAACAATTCGAAATTTTTTTTAGGTATATCTTAGCGATAAATGAATTAAAAGTGACAATTCGTGTGTCATCTTTTATTGAAAATTCAAGGCTCTGCAAAACAGGATTTTTATAATTTGTTTTGTATAGCGTCGAATTTTGAATACAACTCATTCATTTGTTCGCTAAGTTATAAACATTTTTAAAATTTTTGACAATTTTCCCATGCTATTTCCATACAAAACTTTGATTGAAATGCGCACTATCGAAAAGACAATGAGCTAAAACTCATAGAAGATTTTTTTATCAATTTGGAAGCATTTGAGCCCTTGGGAACAAGGAAATTCAAAAATGTCCATATTAAGGACCACCCTTAATATATTTACGTCTACCGGAAAGTGGTTCTTCTATCCCAAATTATGACATCATTTTCCTCACGTTTATTCCATTCTCAGCCTTATATTTTTATCGCTTAATGTTTACATATTGGCATAGATTATAAACTATAAGAAAGTTGACTCACATAAGTTTAAGTGTAAAATGACAGTATAACCGTGACAACTGACAAAGTTCGTTTACGCCACTGTATTTTATATCAATTTCAACAAGGAAGAAAGGCTACAGAAGCATGTAGAAATTTATTAAAAGTGATTGGTAAAGGCACAGTATCTGATAGAAATATGTTAAGAAAAATTTGAAACAGGTGATTTCAACCTTTCTATTCCAGGCGAGCATCTTTGATCGACGACCATGTTGTTAAGATAATGTTAGATCAAGATCCTTTTCTGACAACATTGAGGATCGCAGAAAGGCCTAATTGAGTTCAACAAACCATTTCTGATCATATTTGAAAGATAGGTTTTATTTATTCTCTATTTTATTTACAACTGTCCAGTTAAAAACATTTAGTAAATTTGGGGAATTTGCAATTGTCAGCCGTAAAGGGACACTGCATACTAAATTGACATGTTGGAAAAACTACTCAATACTTGAAAGATAGGATTTGTGTGAAAGTATTCAAGTTGTCATATGCACATTTTTGCTTATTTTGGAACAAAATCAATCCCTACTTGAACCAGATGAAAAGTGGATTACGTGCAACCTCTGATTATCACTTGTATTTGTCTTTACCAACTATTTCGACGGGCAACAAATTAAAAGACGCAGAAGATGTCAACAAACACTGGTTCAATTTTTAGCATCTAAAGATGAAACATATTCCAAAAATAGGATATACAAACTGCACTCGTGCTATCAAGAGATTAATGATAATGGCAATATTTTGTTTTATTCCAAAAGCGGACAGAACTTTCCGGTAGAACTAATATATATTATATATATATATATATATATATATATATATATATATATATATATATATATATATATATACATACATACATACATACATACATACATACATATATGTTGAATGTTACCAACGCCATGTCCGAATGAAAATCTTCTTAAATCCCATAACTAAGCGTTTCTAGATCGTTGTTGACAATTTCTTAGAGCATTCTAGCGGAAGCTATGTCAACACACAACTTAGCAGTTGGAGTCCCAAAGTGCTGGCGACAAATCAGTCGAAAGAGCGACGACGCGACCGGATTCCTTAGACCTCGTTCTACCACTATAAAGCATCTCTGGACATTCATTATCATCACGTAACATTTCTAATCCTTCTCACATACCTAACTCCTATGATCACCCTTGCGATTGCGTCCAACTGGCTTGCAGATATATCACCCCGGAATGATAAATGCGAAGACAGCCCGAGCTTGTTAGTTTATCACAGTTGGAGGGTCTTTTACTCTATTTAGCGGTCGTACGTTTGTAGAAGAATGCGCACGCATGGCGATTAATTACAATCTTTCATATAACATCTTCCTCATAAAAATATAAGCGCATCGCTATAAATTTTCTGAATAAATTGTCAACAATTTATATCCTTAACCATTTACTGTGAAAAACGAAAAATATTATTCTGCTTTGCGGAAATAGTTTTTTCCCACACTTATTTCTCTTGTTATTAAGACAATTAATGCGCTATTTCATAAACAAATATAAAAAAAATATTTTCAGTATAAATGGTACAAACTACGAAATACAAATTAACTAAAAATTAGTGGTGCATCGTGCCTTAAGGCACAAATCGCCAAATTGCATTATTTGATCTCCGAAACCACTAACTTGCCTTCTCAGAAATTTAATCAATTCTTCGTTTCGTCAATACAAATAAAGTGCTTCTTGAATCATTCAAATAGGACGCTCAGTTACTTCAAAATCTGAATTACTATTTTTGACACTTTTTGCTTCGTATCTTCAAAACGGCTGGACCTGTTTTTGCCAAAAACGAATCAGCACGTCTCCCATCAATGCAAATCGAATGTTTTTTTTAATTCTTCAAATAGGTTGATTCGCGTTTCCGAAATCGTCTACAAAAATTGTATCTGCATACACACACATACATAAACGCACACACACACACACACATACATCAATTTTTCTAAGGTATGCCAAAATGTTCCGAAGACCTTGAAGAACGTAAATATATGCAACAGTTTTCATTTTCTACTTACCCTACGGGAAGTTAGCAATTTAACACATGTTTCTTGAATCATTCAAATAGGTCGTTCCGTTACGTCAAAAACTGAATTACTATTTTTGGCACTTTTGGCCCCGTATCTTCAAAACGGCTGAACCTGTCTTTGCCAAAAACTAATCAGCACATCTCCCATCAATACAAATCGAACGTTTTTTTAAGTTATTCTAATCGGTTAATTCGTGTTTCCGGAATCGTCGACAAAAATTTGTATCCGCACACACACAAACAAACAAACACACATATCAATTTTTTCTACGCCAAAATGTTTATAAAAACTTAAAACTTATGCAAAGATTCTCATTTTCGATTTTATCGCGGTTACTATAACTTACCCTACAAAAAGTTAAAAATTCAGCACGAATCGTACATTTGTAAATAATTAATAAATATATTTTATTAATTTATATTTTATTTAAATTAATAAATATTTGTAAATATTTATTAAATAAAATTTATCGATAATTGTTACTAATAAATAAATATAATTATTCTAAATACTCGTAACACGTGATAAGTAGGTGATTCGGTAAGAAGATCTGTTCAACTTAAAATATCTATCAATTGATTTTTGAGTGTGTATTAAAAGAAAAAAATTACTTCTGTAATAAATTTCTGTAAAGTCACTTTTGGATCGGCATGTACATGTGAAGTTACCAATCAAAAAGCATGTAATCATAAAAAATTGATTGCTACTATTCTATTAATAGAAATATGCATGTGCATACCATTTGATCAACTTCATTTAAATATAACTAACTCAATTACTGCATAGGACAATAAAAAACAATGCATAATTCATTCCATTACAAAGAAAAATAAATAAATTCTAATTCTTCGAATGATTGTTGCAGATACGTGTTCTCGGCGCCTACCCAACTGTTGGAATCACTACCAGGTACTCTGATGTTGACAGATTGTTTGGACGCGTGTCAAGCAAATGACACATGTAAAGCTGTCAACTACGAAACGGGTCTGTGCGTCCTATTCGCATCGAATGCTGACAGTCAACCAGGTTAGTAGAGACAGATCTACGGAAGCCGTCAGTTTTTAAATAACTAATTAAAGGATAAGAACCTGCATTTTATATACTTTGCAAAAGACTCCGATTTTTCGAGTTCAGCTAATTATATTGCTTTTGATTTGCATCCGGTACATCATTATTAAATAATCTTAAAACATCTGCTTTTTTAGTTTTTAAAACAATTTTTGTTAGCATGTTTTGTTTCGCAAATCGTTCAATTTGATATAAGGGTACGGAGTACAGATATAAGAATTGAAATTGTTCAACAACTATTCCGTATTTCATATTAGTAACATGAATATAATTGATTATTAGCGCACAGTCCGAATCGAGTCCATGACGAGCATATTCAATCGCAGAGTAAGTTGCGCTGACAAGATTTCGGATCAAAAATATGGGTTTATTTTACAAAATTGGCAGACTTTATTATTATATTTTATACCTTTGTTAATGTAAGCATATATGCAAACGAATTAAACTAAAAACGTAATATTTTTTTATTAAATTTTATACATATGAATGTAAAAATTGTACTTTATAAAACGAGTGATACGAACATTATAAAATATTTCAGTCATACGAAAAGTATTTTATTTTTAAAACATCTATAAAATTTAAAATTAGTATTCTTAGTACGTGCACCGTATAGATATAATAAGTTCTGTGTTCAGTACTGATCACCGTTGTCGTGCACTTTTAAATAAAATACATTTTTAGAACACAAAATAGAATGTAATTTGTTAAATATGTAAAATAATTCAAATTAAATTAATACAATAACTTGTAGGGGAAATACGGACAAAATGGTTTACATGGACAAAATGACACAGTGGCCCTATTTAAAAATTGGCTAAGTTTATTAACGTTTCCGCGACTGAGGAAAAACAAAATAAGAATCTTATCAGATGTTGAGCGTCATTGTCACAGTTTTGTCACAGTAATCTGTTCAAACGTGTTTCGCGCCTTGAAAAGTTCATTTTGAGGGTATGTTTCTCATATATTTCGGGGATATTAATATAAACCACTACTAGTGATTGTAATAATGGTTTGGTAGAATTTTGATTGATTATTCATTTTTGTTCAATTTCGTACAAAATGACATACTTATGCAATGGATAAAATGACATGAATGACATGACAAAAACTACAGGGCTTGGAAAAAAATATTAAAACTTGTCAAAGGTGATTGGTTTTTAATTTCTACTCGAAGTATGCAAGTAATAATTGCTTAAAACAGACCAAAAGATCCACCGGTAAAAAGAAGAGACTTACAGTTATTGCAAAACTCTCTTTTTTGGTTCTGAGACCAGCGAAAATTGGTTACGATGAATGACTTCTACCCTTTGGGTTCATGTTTCATGTACTAATGTCCCAAAAAGAACGAAACAATTTTCTTAAACAAATTCTTCAAAACTAGCATATCAGCAAGCCCTTATCCTAAACGTCACGTTTATATTGCACTTTTCCTTAATAAATATGTTATTATAATTCCTACTCAATTCAAATACTATCTTACTAGTAGTCAATGAACCAAAGATGAAGTAAAAACCATTAAGACTGGTTATATCATTAAATAAATAAATATAGTTGAAAAACAAAACACAATGTCATTTTGTCCATACTTAAGTTTCTTAAAAGGTATCAATTGTAATCGCATTGATTAGTTGTTGGTGGAAAACAAAAATTTTATTTATAAGCAATTTAAATGTTATTTGAATAGCTAAGTATTAATTCCTATTGATTAAGTGTTTCCTCATTTCTGAAGTTCATGCAACTTGCCTTAAGGTAAAATGCGACTTACAGCTACTTATTTTATACACTGATAGCGTCAAAATTCTAAACAACTTGACATTTCATAAAATATTTAGTTTTTTTTTCAGCAATTGCAATTTAAATAGCAAATGATCATTATTTTATACACATGACGAATATACTCGCCAATACACAAAATTTTGTCTTGACGAGTATATTCGTCAATCATAGTTAGCTGGTCAAATAAAGAGCAATCTAGTACAACCAAGATAGTAGTCAATATCCATAAATCTCCAGCATAAAATAACTTTACTACGTCATATATAAATCAGATCACGTAAGTCGGTCTTTGAATACTATATCCTCGATACGGCATTGTTGTCCGGTGGATACGGTAGCTCATACTTGAATTACCGGACTGCGGCCAGAGCGGATTGAATTGAATTACGGCCAGGAGACCGCAGACCAAAAGGTCATAACAGTCGTTCGCATAGTTCGCAATGGTTCGAGACGAAAAGCCTGGCGTTAAGTACGGTGCGGATCCACGCATAATAACCAGCTTGCTTATGTACATAACCGCATTGCATATTAAACTGCAAATCAAACATGCAAATACGCACATACAGAGGCGTTTGCCTCTGTAACTCGAACACACCGAAAGCTTTCTAATAATAACAAGATGAATCGATATTACTTTGCGGTATCACTGAAATATGTGATGAACTATATATTGACCAGTTAACCCCTTAACATAAAATGACGAGCAGAGCCCGCGTGTGATTCTAGGCCAAACGTAAATATTACAGGCATAGTCCGCGTGCGAAAATCGGGCCAGAAGCAAATATTACGCATTACAGGCATGGCCCGGTACAGTAATCGCAAGTATTACAAAAGATATATTTCTACGAAACTATAAAACACAAAATTATTTTTATTTTTGAAAATCTGTACACTGTGTGGGAAAATAGTCACAAACGCTGCATAAGCTTGTACAACTTTGGTCCAACATTTTCGAATCTAAATTGTAAGTTAAGGGGTTAACTGTGATTGACGCATATACTCACCATGCAGAATTGGCAGAATTTTCTTTATTTATGAGTATATACGTCTTCCGTATAAAGACAATTTGCCATTGACAGGTATACTGGTTATGAAGAAGTGGCAGTGGCAAAAACAAAATATCAATAACAAAATGAACATTCTTGAAATTAAATTCGAAGTCAGTCATATTTACTTAGCCTTCCGCGTTTTCATTATTCTGCCTTTTTGTGACAAAAGCATCTAATATTTTTTGCTTTTTACTTTTGCATTGTGCTGTTAAAAGTTCTACATATACGGATAGAGCATCTGTAACAAAGTGCCTTAATCTTGAGCTCTTGTCAAAATTCGGATCATTTTCAATGAGTTGATCCATTATTTCAGTATGGTAGATGTAGCGACCTGTCAACACACATCGCATCTCAACTTGACAGATAAACATTATTTTTGGCTCATCATAGTGACAGCACTGCGCGAAACAAAAGTGCAAGCGTCAGTATTCGGATCTCTCTCTTGTTTCTCTCTGTCGAACTGCCAAAATTATAATTCTTAACACTTTTTCTTTCTCATTGTAAATACACAAATACTATCTACGTTTTATAAATGATAAATATAATCATACATAGTGTTGTTACTATTTCATCATAAATAAAATATATAATATAAAGACTACGAGTTTCTTTATAGACAAACTCCTTTTTACAAACGCCATCGAAAATTCTTTGTGCTCTAACTCTGAATCACTGCTGTCAACATTTTTATTATCTTCTTGTTCAGTTAATCCATTGAGCGCATCATTAGAAAGACTGTGCTACTACTTGAATTAATTATTCGATATCTTGCACATTTTCACCTTCAAAAACTGAGCTTTAATAAAAGAGCGCTAAACCGAAACAGCGCTAAACGAAACTGCGTTAGGCGGGGTAGTACTGTATATTCCGAAATGTCAAGTTGTTCAGACTATTTTGCAGCTATAAATGTATAAAATAAGTTGTCTTAAATAGCATTATTACGCTAGGGCAAGTTGCATAGACTTCTAAAAAAGTAGAAACATTATACTTAGCCAATAAGAATTGAGATTTAGCTATTTAAATAACATTTTTGACTGTTTACTTAAAAAATACTTTTTGCTTTTCATCAAAAACTATTCCTACTTTCTTACATTTACATGTATAATACTTCATTTAATTTAATCCGTTTTCAGTTCAATATGTGTGTAATATATGCTTATGTTAACAAAGTAGTAAAATGTAGTAAAAATATTTTTCAATTTTGTACTGGTTGTTACGTAGTTTTAGTCATCTACTAAACATTAAACCTCAAAGGTGCAAAAATATAATTCAAAATCGAAAAGTCAAAATAATTAATAATATAATCGATTCTAAACGACTTTGCTAAATTGCTATTCAAACAACACAATAAGTAATACAATGTAGGTACAGTACTTTTAGATATAAATTATAACCCTATAAATTAACAGCAACACAGAATCATATTTAAACAGATATTATAAATAATGAATTAAATAGAAATTTGATAGAAGATAAAAGATAGACATTGAACAAAACAAATTCCATTATATCAGGAAATAAATTATGTTTTATTGCAAAACAACTTAAAAAGGATAGGTGATACCATCATTCATATAATATAAATATAAAAAGTGGTCAGATTTATATGATCATAATAAAAATCATTGTGGATTACGAAATGTGGTATAATAAATTAATTAAATGGAAAAATAAATTAAAACGCTATATATCGTGCACCACAATGAAGAAGATATATGATGTCATGTAAAAGCAGTCGTCTATGAATTCACAATTGCTAGTGATATCCAAGCCGTTATTGGCTGCCATAAATAAATAAGTCACTGATTTCGGCGTAATTCGCTCCGTTGATGCTTCTTTTGAGTGTAACGAACTTATACAGACGCTCATTTATATTCATCCAATTGGAAAATAATATAAAATATGAAACGGACACAAAGTCTTGTAAGGCTTTGGTGATATAGTGGAGGATCAAAGGAGATCTCCTGTAAAATCAATAATCAAAGTACTTTGATGCAAAAAACATTTTTTAATATACTTTTTATTTACCTTTCAACATTTGAAAAAAATTATCCAAAGAATACTACATTGGAAAAAAATACCTTGTTACTATTAAAAAGCATCATTTAGTCAATTTTAATTCTATTTAAA